TCCTGTCGGGATTCAGAAAGGCCAGAATAATTCTAACTGGAACTGACGCCTGAGTCTGACGACAGCTACACAGAAGAGGAAGCAGCGCTCTGTTTACATCATGGATCTATGGTTTATCTCCGGAGGTCACACAGAAGTGACACAGAGGATGAAGAATTCAATGGATTTAGTGATATGGAGTGAGATCGTGAGTTTGGTAAACTTATGTTGTTTTTGCTGTAATTATCTGAATAACTGTTAATATGTTACATTAACATATTAACGCCTGTTCAGTCTGTTGTTCTTTATTCTGTTGTTATTACTGTAACTTGCCTTTCAAGATGAAATGTCGGTTCCTGGTCTCTGATTTTATAAAACAAATTTCCCCAAAAAATTGCAACTTATATGTTTTCTTCTTCGCACATTTTTTGGCTGGTGTGACTTATACTCCAGAGACACTTATAGTCCGGAAAATACAGCAATTAATAATAGATTTGATATTATAAATTGATGTCAAATTAAACTTATATTAGAGTTAAGAGGAACCTCGTGTACTGTTTGTTTTGTTGTCAGAGTGTGAGAAAGAGTTGATAATGTGTCACTAAACTGTGCTCTCTCCACTCCTCTGTGCCGCTGCAGCTGCTCGTCTGGCTCCTCCGCAGCTCCAGACTGAAAATGCACTTAAAGATTCCAAACCAAATCACTCCAATAAATAATAAAGGTACAAGGCCTGAGAAGAAGAAAAACAAATGTAATTGGATGTGACAGAAGTGAGCAGCTGCTGTACATCGGGCCTCAGAGATGACTGGGAATGATAAACGAACTCTTAACTCAACCGCAAACCCTCAATCCATCCTTTAAGGCGCTTTCTGTCAGCAACAAACTACAGGCAATTCACGACATGAGAGAGATTTATTACGATCAGGAACACGCCAAGTGACGAGTCCATTAAAGGTCCTAGATTACACGAAATTGACTGTTGTGAGATTTAAGCCACGTCAGAAAATTATTACCTCAAAACATCAAAAACAAACCCAAAGTTGTGTTGTTTCATTCACACATGTTTGAGTAATCCTGCATTATTACTCTTTCTGCATCTCCAATGATCAAAATGCACTTTATGACATCATGAAGCGGTAGTTTTCCTTTTAGTTTAGCACTAGTGGCAATTCCAGAGCTGAAATTCCAGACTAGGGATGGGGCATTCGATGAAATTTTCTTAATTGATCGTTGGAAGAATTAACCATCGATTATGGATTAATCATTAACATTTTTATATTAAAATGATCATCATTATTATTACTATCTGCACTACTAATCTGCATAAATAAATTCAACTTTATGACAAATAAACTGTAACTACTCTAGAGCCACATCAGCCCGTTTATTATAATGTGTTTAATTAAGTTTTGCGCAACTCTCACAGAAACTAAACTTAAAACCACATGGCTAATTTGCATAAACTAAGCGAAGATAAAACTACAGCTCTTGTGTCGCTGATGCGGTTCAACTTCTGTCGGATTAAAAGACATGACTCAGTGGAATACAGGTTAGTGTGACCATATTTGCGTACGGGGGGTGGGAGGTGGGGACTCGTCATCGACATTGAGCTACTCTCACCTGGTAAATCTTTTTCCCACTGGACACCGAAACATATGTGCTGCTTCATACACTGTGCACATGGCCTCCCACTTGTCCCGAACGGAACGGAAAGCGTAGAATTTCTTGTACAAGTCATCGTAAAATACGCATATGCACTTCGGTACGTTGCAGGCGGACTGACTGTTTGTGTCTGCTCGCTCCTTCTGAGTGCAGAGAGCTACATGTAGGGACCCCTGTTTGGTCACGCTACGCACAGCAACCTACATTCGATTTGTCGATTATAATTAATGTAATCGATGAAATTCTTAATGATCAATTATCGATTAATTGACCAATCATGCCCATCCCTATTCCAGACACTGATGCACTTCCTGTTTTAGTGTTTTCTTTTTGAGAAGAACTCAGCCTACATTTGCAGGGTTTGTGTGTTAAACATGTGTGAATAAAACAAACAAAACCTCAAGGTATGTTAGTGAAAAGGGAACAACAACATAACAACAGAACGCAACAGACATCAACACATTTCCCCTGTTTTACTTCAATCTCTGGCTGCCTGTGTGTTTTAGAATCAATTTTAAGATTTCACTGATCACTTTAAAGCTCGCTCAGGTCTCGCAACAAGTTACATCTCAGAAGTTTTAACCCCGTACGAGCCCTCCTCCCGCAGCCTCAGACCCTCAGGCAGGTCCCTGCGGCTGTTACAAAGTCCAGGCTCCGGACGAAGGATGATCAAGACTTTTAAGTTCGGGCGCCTCGGCTTTGGAACGACCTGCCTGAGGAGATAAAGCTCAGACCATCAGGATCATCTTTAAATCACTTTTTAAGACTCATTTTTATTGGTTGGCCTTTCTTTAACTGGTTTTAGCTTGATTTTATTCCTTATTCACTTTTATTCAATTTCTTTGTATTTATTTGTTATAATTAATTGAATTGTTTGCATCATAGTCTGTTTTTGAATACTTTCTGTTTGCCTTTTTCTGCTTTTTGTATTGCTCTTTGTGGCTTGTGCAGCACTTTGTAAACCTTGTTTTTAAAAGTGCATTAAAAATTAAGATTTATTATTATTATAAATCAGGAAATAGCGTGATATGGGTTCTTTCTTTAAAACAAAAAAGTAGGTGGTCTCTTAGAAAACAGTGAGGTCAGAAAATTTGACAATATTTTAGTGTCCTTGAGTGTCATACCTAACAAGCACTGATAAATACAATGCCTTATTATTAATATAACAATGATTTATTTACAGTGTGTGTGGAGGCCGTATATTTAAAAAAAATATCAAAAATTCCTAAACTTTGACCCTGAGTATTGTTTGTTAAGGACTAGTTCCACAACTTCACTTTATTATTAATCAAGAGTAATTACACCCATGTGAATTATATCATTAGGATACATAGGACACTGTGGTGAAACCAGCCGTCGTATTGTGTGTAATTAGGTCAAGTAAATATTATTCATACGTAGCCCCTTGGGGATAGATAACGTTATATTGATTGGGAGATTGATTAATAATTAAACCAGATCAAAATATGTGCATAGTAAATTCTACAGCTCAAGTTTAAACACGACCAGTTCATTAATTTACCGTATTTTCTGCACTATAAGGTGCACTGTCATTGAATGGTCTATTTTCAAACTTTTTTCACAAATAACCCGCATCGGACTTTAAACGAAACACAACAGTTGGATGGGTAAGTGGGACTTTGTTCGTCGCGTTCACGGTGACTCTGGGCTTTGTTCAGTTGTGGCGTGTAGGGAGGGTGCTGTCTGGGACTGTCTGGATTGTCGGCGTGATCGCAGTGACTCACTTGTTCAGTTGTGTCTAGAAGTGGACACATTGCATTCGCTTTTTTGGTTCATTCCTCGTTGGCGTGGAGTGATGAGTGTGTCTGTGGGTGTGTTTCGCTGTGCAGTCGCTGTCTGCTCCGTGTGTGTTTGCGTGCGCTGTAGGTGGTGCAGCTTTGTAGTTTACTGAAGTCGTGCTGGGACACCCGAGTGGATTCGTGTATAGGGCGCTCTGGATTGTGGGCGTGCAGTCGTTTTTTGATGGGGTTGGAGGCTTATGAGTGCACCCTATAGTCCGGAAAATACGGTAAAACAGAAACCTACAGCACCGTTTTCAAAACAATTGTGCAATCACGCTCCATTACCTCCTTATGTAACTTTAGATAATTTGATCATGTAACGAATGAATCATATTTAAGTATACAATGAGGTGGCCAGAATTTCAAAATAAAAAAATAGGACATCCCTGTTTTTTCGCTGGTTGGTAATAATAAAACTGAAACGAGTAGGGATGTACAAAATTTTTTGGTATATTTTACAAAATTATTTTGTTGCAGCGCTACAGTTTTGTTTTGTTTTTTTAGTCGAAGGATGCTCGTTTATGCAACACATTTGACATACTCACTGTTTTGATGATTAAAATGGGTGTGTTTTATTTTAACTTTGCACAAGAAGTGATTTAACAAAGACTTTGAAGTGGTTTATCAAAGACAGCAATCATTTAGCCATTATTTTTATTGAACCGTATCGAATCAATTTGAAATATATCTAATCAAAAGCTCACTGTATCGAGATATGTATCGTACTGTGAACTATGTATCAATGTACAGATGTGTCTGCAACTTCTTAATGATACCCAGCCCTAGAAACGAGTGTGTAATTAAGAGAAACTGTTATGCAGAGATATAGTCTTTATTTTCTTTGTGTTTTGGTCATTTTAAAGAAGATATTTTATATTTTACCGACACAAATGACAATTTATGCCTCTCTTTACTGTTGGCAGGAATCAGACGGGTCAAAATTAGAGACACCTGGGATATTTCTTGTATAAATCTGGGACAAATCAGTATTTTAGATAAATCTGCAGGCTCAAAACTAGGACTGTCCCGGGCAAATAGGAACGTCTGGTCACCCTATGTACAATTTATAGTAAATACAAACTTTTTTTTATATATTTGTCCAACAATCGTGCAACTTCTCTCTCTTTTCTCGAATGTTATTTCAAGCAAGACGCAAACCAAACAACAAATAAAGCAAATGTGAGTAAATAAACCAAGCAAAGCAACTTTCTCAGAACGTGATAAGCTGATTTTGAGCTAAGACTGCAAAGTACCGATCGATATTACCCAGAAATTAAGCAACAAAGTGACAGAATGTTCCCAGTAAAGCACTCTAATTAAACAGCGTGCACATTTGCATTTCCAGTTTTAATCCTAGACCACAGATTTGATTTTGTTGTGTTTTCTGAAGCTGTCATTGCTTTAGCATATCCGGATAACTAGCTAAAGGCCTCGCTAGCTCTACTCAATTTGCACATCTAAATCACAAAACTCAAAATGTAACAAGACCCGGACTGAAGCACGAGCAAAATTACTGACAGAATATGTTGAAATCTGGGGTTATATTGAATAAATTACCTTGTTATGTCTGGATTTAGCTGTTAGCCTCAGCCGGCGTTGCTCGGTTCCGCAGCTCGAACGACAACACAGCAACGCGTCCTCTGATTGGACAGAGATGAAAACGAAAGATAAACGGATGTTGTTTATGCAAGATTTTATTTACTTTTTAAGTTTTTGTTGTTTTAAAATATTCTCACAGCAATTTAATTTATTTTTCGATTGTTTTGCTTCAGTTAAAATAAAGGAAAATATATGGCTTTCTGTTAAGCGGATTAAGTAGTGCAGCGCCATCTAGTGTGAGCATTTTGAGCTCATGTGGAAAATAGATCGTTTTGTTATAATTATTTTCATTTGAGAAGTTGAAATTAATCATTCTAACTAGAAGATAATGAGCAATGATGGGAAGAATACTTTGAAAAATTATTTAGTTACAGAATACTGAATATCTGCATTAAGATATATTTTGTGACCAGGGGCGTATCTAGGATTTTTTTTTTATTTTTTATTTTTTTACCGGGGCTAGTTAAGTTTCTGTGGTGGCACTCAAACATGAATAAAATGTAAGTTGCCTGAGCAATATTAATTGAACAGTGAATACACAATTAAAATGTAGTTGAAGGGTAAATAAATAAATAAATAAAAAATAAATAAACATTCATAATACTAATGTAACTGGCTACACCACTTAAAGTTTATGTCATAGACCATATATATTCGTTTATACAGTCTATGGTTTATGTTTAAGAGAATTACCGAAAAAATAGAGGCAGAAACACAAGTAAAATGTACTTGGTCATGTTTTTTTGGTTTTTTTTTGCTGGACAAAAGTAATATGGTAGTGCACTAGGCCCCTTACATTGAAACACTCACCTATTACTTAAATAATTTATTCACCATAATTTTTTTTTCATATTTTTTTGTCAAATCATAATTTTAATTTTAAAGGTTTTTTTTTCAAAGTTTGCGTTTATTATGTTCACTGTTCAGAAATAAATACATCAGTCATTTTTTATTTTTTAAAGCTTGCTTACGCAAAAATCCTTGCGTGCGCGCTTCCTACGCCAACCGCGGTATTTATAAAACTCGCCTAAGGCGTGGCTCTTTCCTTAACTCTACGCCAACTCGGGACCTCCTGTAAGTTCTACGCAAAGTCTGGAGACACGTGGAAAAAGCGACACTCGTGGAGAGAAGCAGAAGTGAACAGAGTTTGAGGAAGTGTTTGATCAGAAAATCCACGTATATAGAAGAATTACCTTCTGATTTGCGCATTTAAGTGTTTGGTTCGCCAAAATACGGAGAAGGGCTGTTTATTCCACTCATTATTCTCCACAATATTATATATTTGACACTCGTGCACGAGCGCGGCCACGTTCCCGGACTCAGTGTAGCGCAGAGTCCCACAGTCCACACCGCGACCATAGACTTCATATAGAACACAGACTGTGACCGACACAGAGGACGAAATAATGACCCAACCTGAGAGAAAAACTCTTCCCTTGGACGCAGCAGGAGCCAGGCTTTGATTTAATGAACGCAACTTTAACACTTTTACTTTAGTCTTTACGCACCGAGCGCCAGAGTGACCCGAGTCTGTGGACAACACGAAGCCCACTGCCCGAACCTGACCCCAACCAAAATCTTCCCTACATTTTTGTGTAATGGAGAACTCTTGTACATGAGAGCTGCTCTCTGACAATATGAAGAACAGAATAAAGCCCGTGACCGTCCCGACCCAGACCCACACTCACAGGTTCAGCAGTTTGGATGTTTCATGTGGACTTTAGTTGGCAGAATAACATCTGTATCTGATGTGTTTCATGCTAAATCTGTGTCCTCGTCCTCGTGTCCCTCCCTCGCTCCTTTCGCTCTCCAGGGGAGGGCATCTGAATCTCTCGCACGCGCTCATAATTTGACCATTCAGATCAGCGCGTGCACGTATCTACGTGTATGTGCATAAATACAGGGCCAGTCCTCACACACTTCATAGACAGACTTAAAAATATAGCGATAAAACTCTTGAAACAGCGAAAAAACACATGGGCTTTACTGCAAAGATGTGCTGCCTAAATATTATAAAAAATTATTAAATGAACAGATGAGTCATTGTTGTCACTTTTAGTTTTGTATTTATTTATTAAACAAGGTTTAATAAAGTCTTTAATAAAGTGTTTGTCGTGATCACGTGGTGCTGCGTGGAGCGTCCTCCTCCCTCTGTCCCGCGTGTCTCGGTCAAACCCACTGATTATCGGCTCATGTTTAGGGAAATCTCATTCACGAGTCACTTTACATGCTCCTTTTATGGTGAGGTGGAGGTGTGGAGAGGGCGTGACGTGACGTAGGTTTACGTGCGCAAATTGTAGTTGCAGGTGGGATCTATAAAGCAAAGATTGCGTGGTTTGGTGCGTGCGGTGGGTTTTCTAAATATGGAGTTTGCGTGGCGCACGCCTTGTCGTAGCTACTAGGCGTACGCACTAACTTACGACAACTCCTGCGCAGTTTTTATAAATGAGGCCCCAGATCATTATGACTCCTGTACCATTAAAAATACATTAATCATTATTTCAGAGTGTCAGATAAAGTTTTGTTTATTTATTTTATTTATTTATTTTCTGCTGCGAATCCCTGTTAATCTGATTTGGAGTCAGACTAAAGATCTGTATTCCCAGTGCAGGTTATTTCTCCTGTTAGACAATAAAACTTACCCAGGATCAGTGGTAAACACCCCTGTGATTGGACAAATGAGGAGCTATGAGCATATGTTCTTACATTTGATTGGTCAAGACTGATATGTGCTCTTTGCTCTTCCCAAAACAATTCAAAGTAATGGCCAGTGTTGGGCAAAAGCCTTCAAAAAAGTAATCTGTTACAGTTACCTGTTACTTTTCCCCCAAAGTAATTAGTAACTAGTTGCTGGGTAATGAAACCCCCACTCAACCAAATATGTTAATAGAGTGACAAAAAGTATTAATACTCAAGTTAAAATTTTCAAAATTTCAGTGCATAAAAAAACTGTAAAACCCTTAAATAATTCTACATGAACCTCATGATGTTATTTTTTATTTGCTCTTCAGCAGATCAAACTGGACTCAGCTCTTTAGGCCTAAAGCCTCTTGTTGTTCCTTTTCCTCTCGCTGTTCTTTTTGTAGCCCTGTAAAGAGCTCCAGGTTATGTTCGGACGACATCTCATTAGTCTCCTGGATCTTGTTTACCTTCTTTGCTGGTGTCTTGTTGTCTTCTTTACACTTTCTGGCTTTCAGTTTCTGGTTAAGAGCTTTCAGTCACATAATCCAGAGTTTATAGTTCTTCACCTTGAACCAATACCAGTGCATTTGTTAGATCTTCAAAAGTACTTTCTGGTCTCACTTCCCAGACCATTTTTGAAGACCTCACAACTTCTTTATTCTTCTTTCTGTTCAAGTGAAATACAGCTTTGTCCCTGGCTTGAATCTCCTCATGCTTGGATGCTTCAACCACAGTGGCAGGAGTAACACCAGGTTCTTCCAGTGTGGACTTGTCCTCTGTATTTCCGGTCTTCTGAAGGACATTTTCTGACTCACCTTTAGCCTTGGTTGCTGGTCCATCATTGAGTGAGATGATGTCAGTAGTTTTTGGATTAGGCCACCACTATACAAGATTGTGTAGTTCTAAATATGCAAGGAAATAGAGTGAACATGTAGAGAAGAGAAGTGATCTGGATTTCAACAGGTTTATTTATCATCAGAGACCTGGAGACATGAAGAGTCAACACACTGTGGCATTGTCAATTGTCCACTGAAGTACGGCTGCTTCCACTGTTTATTATCGATGACGCAGGCCAGATAACGAGGACTGTGCTGGAGCTGCCCTTGGTATAGTAGTGTAAATTCCTCTCCACAAATAAATACTATTAATATTCTATTGCAATCTGGCAAACAAGAACATAGATTACTTTTACAAACAATAAACTGTATTAGCTTTACACTGACTCCACCTAGAATGAATCACATTTGGGAATAGTCTTTCTCAATGAACATGTTTTTTTTATTTTTTTTTTTTGGCTAAACATGTTCATACTTTATTAAAGCAGAGGATTTTTCTACCTGCAACTGTTCGTCCTTGTTGCTTGGTAACAGCAGGTCCAAAGTTGTGACAGGCTTGTAGCTCGGTGCTGTTATTAAAAAGCCCAATCAACAGGTTCTGACATTGTGGTTAATTAAACTGGAATAATAACAATACTAATAGACAGGTTTTAATTAGTATTTTCTTCGGTCATTTGATGTCATAAGATTATATATATATATTCTAGATTTTAAATGGTTGGACTGGCAAAATAAAGGCCTATACTGTTAATCTACAACTACAGATATTTTGTTCATTATGGTTGATATCTCTGTAATTACTGGTCCAATCCATGAAAAACAAAAATTGACATGTATTTGAATGTCTATCATCCCAGTGTTTCCCATTAATACAGGTGTTTTAAACTATGGTGGCCTCCCTATAGTCTAAAATTTTCCCCTATGATCTAAAAACAACCTGGACTAGGGGTGGGCGATATCTCGATATTTTAAATATATTGTTAGGTATCTTCAAAAAACCATTAAGCGTGTTCTCTCAAAAATAACCACTAGAATCGATGGATTAAAAGCAAAAATAATTGGTAACACTTTAAAATAACTACACCGTATTTAGCCTTAATAAAGCATGAACAAAGACTTAATTAATAATGAACAAAGACTTAATTAATAATGATTCACGCTTAGTAACTTCTTAATTACTACCTTAATTAGCACTTGCACTTAATTTGCCTGTGCTGTAAATAGTTACTCATAATTATTTCATACTTAATTACTCATGGACTAACCATTTGATCATTTATTAATCATTAATAAGCTATGAGAGAATGATTTACTAATAATACAATGCAATGATAATTCAGGCAGCTGTTAGTTAAGTCTTTTTGAGAGCTTTTCTAAAGTGAAGACTAATAATGCTTTATTAAGCATTTACTAAGCATGAATCATTATTAATTAAGTCTTTGTTCATTATTAATTAAGTCTTTATTCATGCTTTATTAAGGCTAAATAAGGCGTAGTTATTATAAAGTGTTACCAAATAATTTATTCCCTATTCAATACAAT